TTAAAAAAAAAAGCCTTATCCGAGAAATACAAAATTTCTCTTGTTGATGGATAATGACTGAACGTAAAAGAGAAGCAACCAAATTTTTTCAAATTTGCTTATTTTTTCACCTCTCTTTACACTTTTGATAATTAATTTATTTACAAATTGGCTTTATTTCAACTTTATAAAATCTTCATTTCATGATCTCTCTTGTAATTGTTGATCAATTATTGGTACTTCTTGCGGATAAATAATTACCAGGTTTGTTGACGGTTGTTGAACTTTCTTATCCAATAAGACACAATGTCAGCATGTAAAAGCCCTTGAATTTTTGATGATGGAATTTGAATTTAATTTTCTTTTCTAATAAAATTCTACCAATAATTAACCTTTGCTTATCAATTATTTTACGTATTTAAGTTAATGTCATCGATTATTTAAAGAAGAATTTTGAGAAAAATTAATTTAGTAAATTATATTCTTTGAATTTGCGTGAAAAACAATAGTTTTTCAAATTCGGAAAGTAAAATTCATCATTTACTCTTAAGTATTCTAATAATCATGAGATATTTTCATCACCCCACCTTTTCTTGAATAAAATAATTAAACGCCTTATAAATCATTAAATAAATAAAAATAAAATACGACAAATCTCTCAGATATATTCTTTGAGTAAAATAGCATATCTTGTTAAGTATATTAACGCTTCGCGTAAGTCAAAATGCGACGCATTGAAGAAGTCTAGGTAGATATGTAATAGACAAAAAATAAGCTTATTTCGGTCAAAAGTTTATTCTCTAATACTTTATTTCGTTAGTAGAAATTGAAATTATAAGGGTCGATATATATATAGAGTTTGAAGAAAATTTACGGTTATAAAGTTATAATGACAACGAGAAATACAAAATTATTTGTTGCAAATATTATTTATACGTTACAGTTTCTGATATCATATAAAAATTCACACATGTTTCATAACCTCAAAAAAAAAAGAATATTAATAATTTAATGACTTTTTTTTTTTTTTTTTTTTTAGTTTTTAAAAGTAATTGTTCTGCCAAATGTAAATATGAGCCATATAAATTTCATGTATCATGTGCTATAATCCGAGTTGTATTTTATTTTCCTCACACTATCATTGTATTGATAAAAACGTCTCTTCTTCTTGTGTCAATTAAGATCAGTGGGGAAAATTTACGAAATAACAAATAATGTGCATATTCAATAAAGTTTTTTTTTAAATAAACTTAATTTCTGGGAAGTTCTCTTATGGGGAATAATCTTTTACATAGTCAATGCATATGTTAGTGATATATATGGGTGGGGATAATTTATTTCGAAAATCTAGTATAGTAAAAGAGTAGAACCTTGTAGTTAGTGATAGAAAATGCCTAGGATCCGCGTACTTCCTCCCTCTTTATACATTTCGATTGCATTTTTCACTTCTGAATCTGAAATTATTAATAAAATTTATGGTATTAGAAAAAATCATACTACAAAGTACAAACAACGCAAAATGAAAATTTAAGCATACTTACTATCAGAAATAAATATGTATTAGATGATATTATTTAGTTCGTGTATAATCAAAATATTTCACGATGACTCGAATTTTTTAATGATATTAGATATTATTAGATCAAAAAATAATGTATCTTAACAGATTGATAAGAATACCATACTTCGTTTTTCATTATTTTACTTCTTTCAAACCAGATCTTTAATAATATGGGATCTTTGCAATAGAAAAGGGGGAAACAGCTGAAAAAAATCAATTTTACTTTTATATGCCAAATATGATTTTTAGATCAAAATATGTTCAGATTTAGCATTAACTCAATTTTTATTTTTTCCAGCCATTTCCCCCTTTTCTATTGCATACGAATCATCGATAGCCTTCTAAAAAAAGAGAAACTAAAAAACTACAAATTCATCTAATTAATAATCCAGAAAAAGAAAAAAGGTTGTTTTTGGCCCTTAAAAGTCACGAAAAGCCTGAAGATATATCCAGTATTTTATCGAATATTTTGCCGTTATACTGTTTGTAACGCTACTTTTTTTTTTGTTATCATGTGCCTTTGATTTAGATGAAGCCTTTGCATCGTAATGATTGGTCAACACGAATATGGTTTTTTTATATGATTTAATACAAAAATTAAAAGTCACTGAAGCATTTTCCACTGGTATGTAGTAATGAAAGCTCAATCTTTTCTAATATTAAGACTAATTTGCGTTCCATTGCTCTACCAGGACTATCGTACAAAAAAACCAAAACCTTATTTTTCAGTACTGTTTCGCAATAGGAATGGCCATAGCTTAAGACCTGTTGAAAAGGATAGTTATATGACTATTGCTACTCAAATGCCCTTCCAACTTCTTGAAGAGAAATTGGATACTGTAATTGCCAGATATGAGTTAACATCCTATGGGGATGTTTTGAATTTAGTTGTAAAATATGAAAACGAAGAGTTAGAGAATGCTACCATCATATTAATAATTGATGGCATGCAAAATATGATTGAAAGTTTATTGGATAACCGAATACGATTGTTTTTTTCATTATGTCTAGCGAAATATACCAAAAGGTCTATAACTTTCTCATTACTTCCCCTTAGATCATATAACTGCTGTTTCTGTTATCTATCAAGTTATAGAAGATAAATCCTGGATTTCAAAGGAAGATTTGAGAACGATGTACAAATGGTATTAATTCCTCATTAAATATATATTCTAAAAGTGCATTATCTCAAAATACTCTTCTTAAGATTCTTGCTCAGATTAGTTATAGATTTTTGAAAAAATCCCTATTATTGCCGAATGATTAATGGCGCAAATATTGGTACATCTCTGTGGAAGTGCGCATAACAATTTATTCGTCCTATTAGCCTGCAAGTAGAGGTATCAACCCTTGAACGTGTGGAGAATGTTTAAGCTGTATCCATATGTAAACTTTTATGTTTTATTTTGGTACCAAGCAAAGTCTATTGCGTGTTGACCACATGTCAATGGAATTTGCATCTATCTGACGACGCGCGCGTTAATTAAATATCAATTTTCAGAAATAACATAGTCTAACCTAAAGTATTTTTGCGCTAGTATGACGATGTTTTCGAAGGAGTATGCAGTTTACGAGACATTGGAGCAGTAAAAACGATATATTGGTCCGTCTTTATATTAATACTAAAAATCTATTATAATATGCTAATTTTTAAAACACAGAATAAAGCAAGCCTCTAAGTTCAGAACAGATTGAGAATCTTATAGTATGTCTTAATTATCTGTTAAAACAGTAATATTAGTTCTAACCTCTGGGAGGTGTGGTTATCATGGAAGCATCCTATCGCAAGTCTGGTCATTTGCGATAATTCGGAGCTAGTGAAGAAAATTTGCAAAAAAAAATAAAAAGAGCCTTTATGGTAGGTGATGTTGTTATTACCATCATATTTTCATGTAGGATTAATTTTTTATAGGAACCAGCCTGTAAGATGATGTTACTTACTTTCTTACCAACAAACATGCAGAGAATTTATGTTGAGTTATAATGAACATCAGATGGAGATCTAGAAAAATTAGAACATGATAGATCCTGGAAAGAAGAAAAGGAAATTCTTGTGGAAGTTACAAAAAAAATCTTTGGCGTCTTGAGTGATGCATAAAACAATTCAGCACTCAGTCCTGAATTCATAGAATTGCAAAATGAGGGTAGGCTTTAAAGCATTCAAAGGAGGAATTATAGCAGTCTACGTGTTAAAGAACACAGTAATTTTAAACAAACCAATCTATGTAAGGCAGGCAATTCTCAACATTAACAAGGCTATGATGTTCAACTTTTAGTACAGTTACATAAAACCTCACTATGGAGAAAAGGCTTGTCTACTTTATACAGATACAGACTCACTTATCATGTAAATAGAAACTGAGGATATCTATAAAGATCAAGCAGAAAAACCAGACATTTTCAATTTTAACTATTCAGAAAACTTGTTTCTAATAAAGGATGAGACAAAAGAGATCTAATAGGCAAATCAGTATACTTAAAGTCAAAAATGTATTCAGTTCTTCTAGCAGGTCATGGTCCTAAAACTCCTGATGATCCATTCTGATTCAAAAGATCTTAAAAAGAAGCATGAAATCTAAAAGGCAAAGAGTATTAAGAAATATGTAATCAAAAGGAAGCTTCGACATGATAAATTTCTAGAATATCTTAGGAATAAAAAACTAACTTAGCTTGATATGTATGGCCTCTGAAGTTATAATCATCAAATTTATCTTGAGAAAGTAAATAAGATAGGGCTAAATCCATATGATAATAAGCACTAGATCTTACTTGATAGAATTTAAATTCTTCTATATAGATATTAGCGAATTAGATTAAATAAATGCCTGATAGCATCTGAAATATTTTCTGAAGAAGCTGAAGAAAGGGCTATGAAAGCTAAACTTTATGTTAAGGAATAGATATTTTATAATAAAAATTTTTTCATGTAAAAAAAATTCTAAAGAATATATTTTCATTAATTAAAGTTTTTTTATTACTATAGTAGTAACATACAAAAAATGGTTGATTATAAGGATATAGAACTTACATAAGTCAAAGTTATAAAAATTGCATTACAAAAGGGCAAAAAATATGATAATCTTACGAAAAACTATAGAGACTATCTAAAGAAATTACAAGTTGAAAAGAATCTGAATAACTATACAGTCAACGACCAAAATTATGCGAACATTTTTAAAATCAAATAAATTATATACACATAATATAATAAAAATAAGATTTTAACAAATATAAATTCAAATATATCTTTATTTATTGATTTATAAAAAAGTTTAATATTAATCCTATTTCTATTTATAGCAATAACTGCTGCAATTCGCTGTAGTATACTATCGATCAGTTTTTGTAATTTTTCAGAAGGATATCTTTCCATGCATCCTTTACATACTTTTCAAGTACTTTAATACTAGATGGTAGTGTTAAAGAATCAGTTTCGCAAAACTGTTTAAGAATACTATATAAACAGCTATTTTATTACACCCATGATATAACCTGACTGTTCATATTTATAACAGAAGCAATAGCATTACGAATTTCAGGAGTAAGTACTTTCATATTTGGCATGAACTTACTTAAGAGAAAATGTTTGGGTATTGTTTATCATTATAAGTAAAAAATGACGTATTATTTTTATTATATAATCACGTGATGATATGTCTAATTTTGACAAATCAAAATGTCCGTATAATTTTGGTCATTGACTGTATTAAGACAGTCGCAATCAAGATATTTCTTAATAAAGAGGCATACACTCTAAGGCTAGAAAATTATCACAAAAGAGATGCAGATAATGATTTGTGTACTAGTCTAGAGGAATTATATAAGCTTTATTATTAAATAGCTAAGAAGGAGAATCGTAAAAGATTAGATGATAAAATAGAACAGATGCTCAAAACAATGGTAAGAAGATAAGTTATAGCACTAACATAAATATTATAGATTTTTTTCTGACATGATAAATATTCAGTTATTTTTTTTTTGATATAGAAAGAAAATTCCTTCTATAAAATATTACATAGATTCAGAAAAAAAATAAATGCTATTTAAGAAATTAAAAGTGCATTATAGCATTAGAATATGATGTAAAAAAAATGTATCAAATATAAGCATTGGTTGAGAAATCTATTATCTATATAATGATATGCTATTATTCTCTAAAGATTTTGAAGAATCTGATAATAATATAGGTATATATGAAAAAAGCAATCATTCAAAAAAGAGAAGAGTACCATCAAAAAATATTAAAATTATAAGAGTGAAAGATAATTAAATCAGATAAAATTATTTAAAATGGTTAAAAATCTAGCGTAAGATCATAGGTAAGTTTACTACTAACCTCATACAGTATATGTCACTATGCAATCTAGCCAAATATAAACATACATATGATAGGATAACCAGCTTTATTACTATTAAGAATATAAGATAAGATAGGATTGTATGCGTGTTTGATTATCTTGAGCTAAGTGAATATCTGAAAATTTAATTCAACCAAAAAATTTATTTTTTGTTTAAAGATACAGCATATATTATTTATGACACATTTAAGAATTTTTGTTATACCAAAACTATTAGAACAGATTTTACATTTTTTAGCAATAGATAAATCCTTCTATCCTACTCTATTTATTTGCTAATTTTGGTATAGATGTGGTATACATATTCTATGAAAATATATTGAGCTAAATGGTGATGAAAAAGATAATCAATCTTAATTAGAAAGATTTATGAAATTAGTATATATAGATGAAAACCCATTTATAACTCAAAATTAACTTATCTTAAAATATCATATTACCACTTACTTTCAAATAAAAAAATCAAAAGCATTATATATACTATCAATAGAAGAAATTACAACTCCAAATATCACGTAGGATCTGTCAATCAATAATGACCTCACGTTAGATAATGTCACTGCTGTGCCAAACAGTGATCAGCAATAATTTCTGTTTCGCCTGATATGCTTGTTTCTTCTATATTTTCTGTACAGTCTGTTTATTCTGTTTACTCTATTTCATCTGTAATCTCTTTAATATTTATAACTTATTTTATTTCTTTCTATTATTTTTATAGTTTATATTATTTTTATTATTTTATTATATTTATATATATTTTTATTGAAATATATATCTATATTTTATTAATTTATAGCGTAGCAAATAGTTAGCCATAGCAAATTAATTTTGTATAAATAGAATAGCTTTTTGCTTAAGTTGTAAATTAACTTAGTTGTAAGTTTAAAAATTCATTTGTAAGTTATTTACAAGTTTCAAGTTATAAATAAAGGAATCAACTTAAATCTATACAAATTACTTTTTCCTTCAACGTTATCCTTCATCTAAGATTGTTGTGATACCCTATATTAACTTGCTATTAAGTTTGTCATTATGAGTTTGACTAACATATCTTAAATTCTAAGACGTGATAAATTTCTGAGTTGATTCAAGTATAATGGATACCTGTAGGACTTAGAGAAAATTCTAAGGTCAGAAACTCCAACATGTAGAATCAGCTGCTGCAGCCTTTTAACTTAAATGTTAAGATAAACAAAAACGAATCCAATGATAATACATTTCCAAATATAATTCATTTTTACCTTTTAATCAAATGATTCAAAAAAATAAGCTACTGAAAATAAATTTGCAAAATTAGTTATAATTTTAAGTATATTAAAATAATATACATAGTTCAATACATATAAACAATACATATTAAAATATTATATATTATAAAATTTATATAAGAAGCTTTTATTTATTCATTGCATATCCAAACATTTGAATTTCATTAATATGACTAAAATTAGGAGATTATTTGTCTTCATAAATGGAAAAATAGATCCTACTAACTTTAATAAAAATGTCATTGTATTAATAGAATAATAAAACAATTATAGTAACACCTCCATAAATGCATTCTTTTAAGGACTGAACATGAATATACATTTATAGAGGATGTACACTTATTAAGCAGCTAATAGAAAATAGATATAGTTATACAAAATCAAATCTGAATACATTTATTTAAAATTTTTTAAATTTTTAAATTGTATAATATGTATTTAAAAGCTAAGTAGTTTTAACAAAATATGTATTAATGTCAATTTATTACATCAAACTTATTTTTTTGACTTTGAAGAATTTTTCAATTTTTCTCACTAACTTTATATATTCTTCTGCATTGTTTTATTGAAGTAGATATATATATACAGTTTTCAAACTAGTTACTGCAGTATTAGTACTAATAACAGAAATTTTATAATTATCATCTATTTCTTCTGAGTCTACATTTTCCTTAACAGCATTTTAAAAAGATACACAAGTTCTTCAATGATTCAATCATCTTCAAAAACAACATCCTCTTCAGGAAGGTTAAGAAACTCTTTTAACTGCATTTGATAGAAAAAATTAAGGACTTGAAGTGCATCTGTAAGATCATTAAGTATCAAATTTTCATTATTTAAACTATTTTTTAATTCACATCTGCATTAATATGGGTAGAAAGAATCTTTGTATGATACTAGCAATTACAAATAGTATCAATATTAACCTTATCCTAAACTTAGATAATAAAATGAATTGCCTGCAAAATGTTCATATATAAGTCTTCTACACAGATACCTTCTTCTATATGTTGAAGCATTAAACTTTTAAAAAAAATAAGTAATTAGATTTTGAGCACTTATAATATTTAATAAATTTATTTATAGATATATCTTACCATATATAATGACAATAATAATGTCTTTTAAAAGTCATGATGATTTTAGAATCTATCAGTTAGATTTTTGAAATTATGTTAAGAGGTAAAAAATGAACATCAGTATATTGTAAAGTAAGGTTAATTAACTTATGGCTGGAATAGTTATTAAGGAGAAGTAAAACCCATTAACCTTAATACTTTAAATTAACTTGATGATCAAATTCTTAAATCCATACTTGAAAAAGTGACATGATCATCTAGGCTTTGGCATTATTACGATATATCATAGGCATACTATAAATCTTTATATTTTTAAAACAATGTAGCTTTTCATATTTGCCAATTATTAAGGATTTAAATTTGTGTGATCCATTGGCATTCATATATAACGTAATTGAAAGGCGTTCTTTGTTTATCTTACATTCAGCAAGATATTTGATTGTAAGTATTCAATCAGATTCTAATTTATAATCATGCAAGATAAGTATATTTCTTTTATTTTAATTTTTTTTTATTTATATTACTAAAAATTTTACTTATAAAATAGTAGTTTCATCTATATTGTAGATTTTCTCAAAAGGATAATTGGAGCAACGTTCTTTTAATAAAAGTAGAGTATTAGTAATGACAATTTCATTAGTAAATAAAGCTTCTCCTTCAATTTTTCGTTGATGAATTTCCATTATAATCCTTAAACTTTTAAAGCTATTCTTGAGAAAATTGAAATGCATTCTGAGGAATCCCTAATCTATTAGCAATCATTTTAGCTTTCTTAATAAGTATTGCATTACTTAAAATCATCTAATGCTGATATTCTAAACAAATTTTTTAAGCACGAATTCAAGTTCTAAAAAAAATAAGTTTATACCATTTTGTATTTAAATTAATAGTTTTGAACTAAGTTATTGGTCTGCTGCTTGTAGGATACAGGTAATGGTACTTTCACCAACTCTAAGGTTCCACTGTTCTTCAATCTAATTAATATACTAGGCTCAGATTTTTTGCTATTATCACGAACGTATTTACAAAAATCTCGCTTTTGAATTTTATTAAATGGTTTTTTTAGACATTTTTTGTTAATTTTTTCAATGTATCAAATATAATTTATTTTAATAGAAATAGCCAGAAATTCATTCCTTAATTTAGATAGATAGCGAAATTTAATTATGATTTTATTTCTTTTTGTAATATTTTCAACAATTTACTTACTTTATTTTATAGAATGGTTTATGTTCTATTTTCTCAAATATAATATTCGCTTTTAAATTTCTTCTAATTAATACTAATTTAACTAATTACAATGGAAATATAAATATTTATTTATACACTTTCACTTAATACTTTTTTGATCAGTTATATAATACTCAAAAATATAAAATTTTATTTATTTTTAATAAATTTAAATTTTTTTTTCTTTTACAAAATATAAAATTTCCAATAGTCAAATATATTATCTGATACTTTTTTACTTTAATAATAAAACCAATCACGTAACTAAATAATTATTTTTGATTGGCTGAATTTATATATTAGTCACGTGAATGCATTTATAGAGGTATTCCAATTATACCCAGAATTTAAAATTTCTTACATATGTAGAATATGAAAGGTGTGCATTTAGCTTTAAGTTCTGAGCTTAGGATTGAATTATAGTGTGCATATAGAGAGAATGTGTATTTATAGAGTGTGCATTTATATAAGTATTACTGTAACTTATATTATAAGCTTTAGATCTATAGTTTTGAAGACGTGAGAAAACTTAAAGCTGTAGAGTGTTTTATAAACGCAACAGTTGTTATGAAAATTTTTTTGAGGTATTTTTGATATATTATGCCTAATATGTTTGATTTATAAAAGTTATGCAACAGTTACATATGATCAAATACATTTAATAATAATTTGGGGCCTAATTTAGAATCAATTATAAAAATACAAAGGAATATTTATAATGACATAAATGTTTAACCAATAAAATTTAATCTCGTATGATAAATTCATTTATCTTTCATAAGACAAATTCATGTTTTATTTTTTTAAACTCTATTTTTCTTGTTAAAATATGTTGTGAACCTATTAAAACAATAAGCTAACCTCCTATAATACTAAGACTCGGTGATATTAACTCTATATTACAATCATTAACAAAGGCTTTATTTAATAAACTAATATATCTTTGAACTTGATCTATACCTAAATTTACTATTTTTTGAATCTTAGTAGCTTTATACAATTTGTTTTCTTTGCACCAATAATAGTAAATTCTTTCTAATAAATCAAATTCAGATTCCTCTTTTAAAGTGTTATCTATTGAGGGTAGACAAAAATATTGCACAGTCAAAATTTATCCGATTTAATAAATTGTTAATATGTAACTGACCATATGATTTTTATACTATATTTGCTATATATTTCCTAAACAGATTATTTGTTTATTGTTTTGATTTAATATGTTAAAAATTGCAAAAATCACATTTAAAAATCTTTACTATTTTCTACTTTGCACATATGATGATCTCACTAAAGAATTAACTCCTATGCAAAAGGAAGGTATTATTGCAGTCAAAAAATTAGGCCACAATAATACTGAGATTGCAAAAGCTATAGGATGTCATCAAACAACTGTTATAAGATGTCTTGCAGCTTATGAATCAGAAGTACCTTCTAAAAAATGATCAGGTCAGATCCTGCTTGATCAATAACCAAAAAAGGCAAAGATTAAAGGCAATGGTTCTCAAAAATAAAGAACTAAGATGAAAAAGTCTAGTAGAAATTACTAATATATTTTTTTGCTAAAATTAATAAACCAGTCTTTACAAAAACAATTTGTTGTGCACTTTATAAGGAAAATGTGCATTCCTGTATTCCTTGAAAGAAGCCTCTCATCTCAGCAATCAACAAAAACAAACGACTTGTATGGGCAATAGAAAGAAGACATTGGACTGTAAAAGACTGGAAAAAGATAATCTGGACAGATAAGTCTACATTTTCACAGTTTCAAAAAACTGGATGAAGAAGAGTATGGAGAAAGCCAGAAGAAAAATTTAATGAAGATTGCATTGCATCAACAGTAAAACATTCTCCTCAAAGAATGTTTTGGGCATGTTTTTTCTTTTTAAAATTAGGTCTCATTATTCCACTTGAAGGTTCAGTAACTTAAAATGTATACAAAGAGATGCTTTCCACTTATACAGTTCCCACACTTAAAGCATTTTCTCAGAAAACCAAAAAAAATTCATTTTTCAGAAAGACAATGCACCAGTTTACACATCAAAGGTTACATGAGAGTTTCTGCATTCTCAAAATGTAGAGGTACTTCCATGGCCTGCTCAAAGTCCTGATCTTAACCCAATTGAGAACCTGTAGGCTGTAGTTGAGGTGGAAATTTGAAAACACAACCCTCAGCCATCAAGCATTCGTGAACTTGAAAAGGTGGTAAAAGAGGTTTGGGAAGCGATACACAAAAAGTGTATTGTGACTTGGTGCAATCAATGCCAAATAGGATTCAGGTGGTGATCGATGCTAAAGGAAGACATACTAAATATTGATATATTATTTGTAAATATAAAAAAAAACTGACTGCTATTCTAATAAAAAAAATTTTATTGCTAAAATAAAACTGCAATATTTTTGTCCCCCCTCGGTAAATTAAGCATTGTTTTATAATCAATAACTTTCCTTCTTCACCACTATATAAACCTAATAGTGATATATATTTTAACTCTAGCACAACATTAGATATTCCTCCACACAAGTTTTCACTTTTACCATTGATAAAAAGATCAATAAATGCATATTTACCGTTGGTACTGTTGGTATACACTAAACGCATTTCAGGGACCCAATTTTTAAAAGGAAATAATTTTGCCACTGCCACTTGGAATGCAGCTTCATTATAATTTCTGAACTGTTTTATTACCATGTCTTTATGATGAAATTCTAGTAATTGTTTCACGATCAGTGAAATATTTCCTTCTAACATGTCCTTCAATGAAGAGGACTGAACATTATCAAAAAAAAATAACAGATAAGACGTTAAAATAATGTAAAAATTTCATCACATAAAAATGAAATAATGCCAGCAACGAAGATCACATTACCTTAATCTTAGTAACTTCTTTAACCTTAACAAGCGATTTGAATAGTTTCACTTTTGAATCATTGGGGTTAGTTTCTGATTTATTAATTACTAAAAAAAAAATATTTATTTAAATACTGTATATTATTATTACAAAATAAAACACCGAATCTTATTTACTTGATTTAATTTTTTTTCTTAATACGTTTAGCTCTACTGATATAAACACCGATAAATCAGTTGCTTTGAAATCCTCTTTATCAGAATGCAGAAAACTAACTCCAGACAATTTATTTTGACGTAAAATTGAATAATCGTTATCATCGAGATGTAATATTTGAAAATGTTGTCGTTTAAAAAAATTAATCAACCCAGTTGTATTCAAAAGTTCAAAAGACTTATTATAGAAATTTAAGAAAAGTTCATGTCAATTTAAAAGAAAAATCTCTATCTTGGATGTAGGTAATCACTAGTGGCATTTACTGTAGCAGCTAAGTCATTGGGATTTTGTGCATACACCATTAGGGTATATGCTGGATTTAGCCCCATGAGGAATATTCGTTTCTGTTGAGCATTATCGGTCAAACCTAACATGTTATGATCAATCAAAAAATCGATTGCACGTGATCAATTAAGCTAAATCTATTTTTGAATTAGTAATAAGTGACGCGCATATCAGATATCAGTCACTGGTCATTTCCAGCGCAACGCCAATCACTAATTAAAATTTTTGTACTACGTGAATTTGCCTATCT